ACAAATCAAGGTCACAAGTTATACAAGATCACAAATCAAGGTAAATGGTTATACAAGGCCACTGATCATGATCAATTGTTACACACCGTCGCAAATCAAGGTAAATAGTTATACAACATCACAAATCAAGGTCACCAGGTGTATAAGGTCACAAATAAAGGTCAACAGTTATACAAGGCCATTGCTTGTACCACTTGTAATTTCTGATCCTCTCAAGATAATTTAACAAAACTTTATACAGATTTCTACCACCACGTTGGCAAGTCTCCCCAACTCCAAGGTCAAGGTCATAATTCAAGGTATTAAGGTCATAATTCAAGGTATTAAGGGTTATACGAGGTCTTTGCTGGTCAGGCCCATAACTTTAGATTACTGCTGTATAATAGTTTATCAACGTGTGTACGGTGCCATGAGCGGGACTCGTGTTTAAATAGATTAACATTTAAAAGTTAATGTTTGTCTGTGTGTGTTTGAGTATCTTAAAGTTATTTAAACATTTTTTATTCTTTGTTTCATTCTTTTTGTTCTAATGGTTCAGGAAAAATCTGGTAATGTCAAAGCCCAAATATCAAATTTACCAATTTGTGCACAGCTGTAGAAAAACTAAGATGGCTCCAGACTCACCAGTTTAAAGTTGCATCTTTCCAGAAGCCCCGAGGATCATAAACCATAACGTCTACAACAACTTGTACATTATTTTTCCTGTTGGTGATGGATTACATCGTGCCACTTTTAAACAACCACTTATAAAATCTCCCCAAAATAAAGGCCGAAGCCTTCAGGGAAGCTGCTGCTACACAACTTCTGCGGTGAACGTCAGGTTTTGTTAAAGTTCTGAGGGTCGGTGGATCTCGAGTTTCTCTGCTTCGTTTCCTCCTGAATGTTGTCTTTTAAAGTTTAGACTTTTAAAGTCTTCCTTTTGTTGTTTTGATAAGTGCAGATTATTGTGAATATGCACAAAATGTCACATCTGTTTCATAACTAGAAGAATTCAGTCCAGGAAGTAAAGTTATTTTATTTTGCAAAATAAAAGTTGGGATTCAGTTTGATACTTTGATTTGCAACAAGGTTTTATGACACCAACTTAAACAACTGCTTTTGTTCAACAGTTTGTCGGAACATATTCAGTTTTTAAAAATATACGTTTCCATCTAAAAGCGGTGCAAATTATCTCCAGATACGTATTGCAATACATGTTGGTTACATGTC